TAAGGTTCAGGGTAAAGGGCTTAGGGTTTAGGGTTTAAGGTTCAGGGTTTGGGGTTTAGGGGTTTAGGGTTTAAGGTTTAAGGTTTAGGGTTTAGGGTTTAGGGTTCAGGGTTTGGGGTTTAAGATTTAGGGCCTAGGATGGAGTGAACCCCTTCCCTGCCTTGGACTCTGCGGCTCTCGGTGACCTGGACCGCGGCCGCGAAGTCTGAGGATGGGCCTGTTTCACACCTCGGAGGGCTCTCTCTGAATGCTTCAGAGAGACTGCGGGTTTACGGTTTAGGGTTTAGGGTTTAGGATTAGGGTTGAGGGATCGCCTGGCGTCCGGGTGTCCGCGCAACCTGCTGCATCTTTGGGCGTCGATATGGCATCCCGGACCTTCAATGCAGCCGAGCATGCTTCCGCCAAGACCGGGCGGGTAGTGTCAACGAGAGACTTGGGATGCCACCCAGCGCAGAGCAGCAAGGGAAGCCCTCATGGCCTGGAGTGGTGCTGCCAAAGTCCAAACCGGAAGCCATGATGCAAGAAGTCCAGTCACAAAACTCCGACAAGACTCCCCGCACATGCCCAAAACATGCCGGCTCTGCTTCGGCGCCAGATTCAGCAGCTGATCTCGGTAGGTCAGCCCCAGCTGAAACTCTACAAGCTGATTCTCGCGTTCACCCAAAAACAAATTCAAATGCTCTCGAGGACTCTCTGGCAAGTACTCCGTGGGTTGGACTTCATGTTAGCCCCGCAACAGCTTGAAGAAGACGGCAACATCAGCAGGTCTTGAAAAAAACAGAACGAGCCAAGGTGAGTCAGAACACGGCTGCACTCTTCAAAAAGCACTGTTTTGCCCTTGTGGACCTCATGCGTGTGCTCTCCTTCCGTCTTAGTCAACCCATGCTTCGGCTGCGGTGGGACAGCTAGCAGGGGTGAAACAGGTTCGTACTGTCTCCATGCTTTCTACAGGGCCTTTGCACTGTGAATTCCTAGAGTCCTACACTGCTCTGCCGGCACCATTGCATGCCTCAGATTGCAAGCCGCTCGCTGTGCATGTTCCCTTCCATCGTGATTGCGGCCGCTACATAGCTCTGCCGCATGTGGTGCCGACACCTATCTACCACTCAGAAAGAGCCACGGCTTGACAACTGGCTTTGCCAGCGCCAGAAGAGGTTGCGCTGAGATGTCTTTCGCTGATAATGGCATAGTACACCGCGCGTCCCTCTTTAGGAGGTGGAAGCTGCCACGTCGGTCGCATGACAGTGGCTTTCAATCGCAAGAACTCCAATCATGCCCACTCAGGCGACAGGACACCACAATCCGAGCTTGCTTGCTACATTTCAACGTGCGTGGACTTACCTCCGTCCATCTCTGTCTATCTCAGAGTGTGTATGTGTACCTGCGCAGGACTATGGGTCGGAGGTCCGACGAGGTGAGACGCTTCGTTAGCGCTACTTTCAAGCTGGGGCCGTGCATGAATTCCTCGTTGCCGAGAGTACATTGACAGAAGGATGCAATCTTCCACTACCAAGGAAGGTGAAGGTGAACCCTCAACTCCATACCATAGGGGCTTAACGAGCCTTCACCTTTCTTGGGCAGAGAAAGATTGGCCTTCGCAAGGTCACCAGACACCCAGACCGGTGCCTGGCTCGCTTCTTTGCTTTCAAACGCCTAAACCCGAACGTAGGATGTGGAAAACGAGAAGTCTCTGACGGGCTAAGTGTTCGGTGGGGTTGGGAACTTCTCTAAACCCTGTCCGGACGAAGAGCCACTTCCAGCTCCGCCTCTCTACAGGAATCTTCTGTGCAACGGCACCGCAAGAGCGATGAGCCACATTGACACAACAGGAACCGTATGAGCTGCTCGGGCGGCCCCCGTCACTGTGACCTCTCCCAGAGTGCAGAAATAGGGTTTAGGGTTTAGGGTTTAGGGTTTAGGGCTTAGGGTTTAGGGTTTAGGGTTTAGGGGTTTAGGGTTTAGGGTTTAGGGTTTAGGGTTTGGGAGCTTGAAGAGGACAGGTGCAAGGACGCACAACCACAAGGAACATCCTGCGATGACAGCAGCGGCCTTGTTTGTGGTGCTCGCCTGTCCCGCAACATCCGTGATGTTGATGACCTGAATCCGGTGGCCAAGGTTACCTTACCTATGAGGTGTCAGCGTAATCAGGTCTATTAAAACTAACCCGAAAGAAACCACTAAAACCCAAGTGCGACAACTTACCACCTGAAAGGTCTAAGGTTACTTCAAGGTTACTGTAAAGTTACAATGAGGTTACATTGAGGAAATGTTAACCCTAAGCACAAACCCCTAAACCTCAAACCGGTTAGTTCATGATCTTCGGCTCAAAACACGCTCTTTTCATGCTATCCAGCCTTACCATGAAGGAGGCCAGCGATGGCGACGAGGACCGTGGCTGTCCGACCGTTCACGCGCTCGTCCGTCAAATCTGCCTCAACGGCGACCTCGGATCTTATCCTACATTGTAGCATGTGATCGTGTAGGTTATTGCTACATTGTAGTTTACTATAGTACGGCATCTTAGCATGGCATACTACATTATGCTATACTTCATTATATTGGAGATTACTGGAGGCAAGGTTTGGGCTTCGACTCCAGCTGTGCCCGCCTGGTAGGACCGCGTCTCGCAGCAGCCTCCGGTGGCGGCAAGCGCTCGCCGCGGGACCGTAGCCAGAGGGGGCAAGGGCAGCGCCTGGTGGACTGGAAGGGATCCATTCCAAAGTATAGTATGGCATAGTATGGCATAGTACAGCAAAGTACAGTCTAGTGGAGTATAGTTTGGCAAGGAAGGGCTCCAAATAACTTTAACTGCTTTAGCTTCAGTTGTCAGACGCGGAAAGGAAGATGACTGCGGAGCGAGAAGAGAATTAGCGAGCCGCCACAAGCCTGGCCGCACTCGTCCGCGAGCAAGATGTCGTAGCCGTCCTCGGGTCACACACTTCCATGACCGCCCCAGTCATGGAGGTGTAACGTTTAGAGTTTGGGGCATATCGTTTGCGAAGATCGACGTGCGTGGGATGTCATGTGTCTTGAGACATGCGGCCTTGTTCGGACATCCTTTGTAATGTACTACATTATTGTACTTTTTAGTATCCGATATTGAACTCTACTCGAGTGCTTGTACTCCCTGAGGTATACTATACTATGTCAAACTATTCCGAATTATTACGTTATATTTTATGTTGTCTGTTATTCGATTATACCAAATTGCAGTGTATCGCGCATTACATCTTATCTTATTGCATCCTACTACAATATATTTCACTATTACATACTTCTATTACAATAGATCACATTTTTACCTCATATTGACTTTGTACTACACTGTATAACATTGTATTACATTGTATTACATTGCACTACATTAAAAAACTACAATACTGTCGATTACATTGGATTGCTTAGATTACATTCGGTTGCACTCGGCTACATTCGAGTGCACTAAGTTCTACTCCATTATATTGTATTATACCATATTCTGTTGCATCGTCTTGTATTGCGGTGTTACGCATTCTATTCCTTTACAGTACAGTAGATGGTATCGTTGTACTGCGCTACATGTTACAACATTCCAAGCGATAGCATTTAGCATGTGGTATATTATAGTGGAATTACATACTTGCTTTGCTCCAAACTATGCTTCACGTACTGCTTCCCTGTACTATACTGTACTATTCTGCACTATACTGCACTATACCGTACTATACTACCATGCTGAAATGCACCATGTTATAGAAGACTGGTGTGTACGATACGACGCTATACTGTAGTGCACTGTGCAGTACTACACTAGATTATATTGCATGATGCTGCTTTATACGATATTACACGACAAGCTACTTGTACTATATTGTAACGAAGCGTGTCATACAATATCGTATCATGTCAATGTCTGTGCGACTATGTTATTGTATTGTGAACTATTGCATTACATCGTACTGTACTGCATGTGGTGATGCTGTGTTGCTTTACATGGAATTGCATTGTATTGTATGTTTGTATCATGCTACATTATACTGCGATGGATTATACTGTTACTGTACTAACCATACTACTTCCCCCTTGTACTCTGCATCTCAATCCAAAACACCAAAGTCTAAGCATGCCCGACCCAGCCGAGAGTACGACAACATCAGTGGAGCTGGTTTCTAATCCAATGCACACGTTTTGGGTTTGGGCCTTGGAGTTCCAGTATGATGAGGATTCATGATCACTCTTACGATCATCACTGTGAAGTTCATGATGATGAACACTAAATTAACGATGGGTTTGCTGGTACATGTCGCACATGGTACTGCTTGCCACCTCAGTTATTCTTACTGTTTTTCATCAAATCCGCACTACTGTACGACTGCCACCAATCTTCCGATCCGTCTTCTGGCCCTAAACAATAAACTCTTAACCCCAAATCCGTAACCCTCAAACCACAAAAACCGTATACCCTAGAACCGAACCCCAAATCCGAACAGCACTACGCCCTGAACCGCTCAAACCTGCTCTTGCTGCCCAGGCTTCGACGTGTTGCTCATCGATCACACCTTCGACTTCCGCTGGTCCAAAGGCAACCTCGGAAGGCTTTAACTTGGACTTGGACAAGAGCTTTGAAGAAGACTTTAGCTGGTACGTGGGAAGCGAGTCTTGAGGGTTCTCTCTGTAGCCGGTTTAGGCTTTGGGCTGTTGGGGTGTGGGCTTCGAGTTTAGGACTCCGGGCTATGCTTCTACATCTGCCGAAGGTAGGTTTGAGAGGGTTGAAGGTTCAGAGTACGGGCTGTTGGCAGATGGGGTTCAGAGTGTAGAAATCTTCGCTGGGCAACGTAGCAACACACAACTGTTATGAGGCTCGAACCACGCCACGAACCATGCCAGGTCGGTCGTCGTCATCGATGAAAGGTTCCACATGGCAAACATCCGGGGAGACACAACCCGTCAAAGCCTCAGCTGCAGCTCTGTCCGGCGAATGCATTGCGGAACAGTCGGAGTGCGGAAGATACTCAGCTCTCTCCCACAACAAATGCTCAGAGTGAACATACCTATTTCCAAAACAAGGAGCTGGTTCCTGCTGGCACTGCGGCGACTCCCCACAGAACAGGGTCGGCCGACCCACGTATCCCGGAGCACAACGAAAGGTGCCTGGTGGACAAGCAGCGGCTTCTGAGACAGCATGGGCGGAAGAGCTGCAAGCTTCATGCATTTAGGGTCAAGGTCACCTGGCTCTTCATCTTCAATGTAAGCAGCCGGAACCTGCAGCTGCCGACTACGTCTGCCATTCCGACGCAAACTCTGTGAGTAAGCTCTGGGCTGCTTCAGGAGCCGGGCAGTAGCAATAAGGCTCCGCCCACTTCCTGGCCGAAACGGTGCTCTTTCCCTGCAGCGCTTGCAGCTTGCAGCCCATCCAACCCTACTCCCTGCAGCCCAAGACACATCACGTAGTCTGGATTTGTGTTACCTGCCGGGCAGATCATCTTCGGCGACCCGCCACTGAATGGCGGCCTGATGCACCAAACAGGTTTGGGTCTGTGTAAGCATGAACCTCGAAAGCAGCAGCATGGGCAGTCTGCACCACCCTCTCAAGAGCATCAGGACCCCAAATCCCTGGCTTCGCACGAAAAAGTCATAACTGGCAATATGATCTCCTCCCCTCAAACCTAAACCCTAAACTTCGATATCTAGCCCTTATGTCTTCATTTAGATGGGGAGTTTTCCGAAAATAGGGGACCCTAATATAGCACCCCAAATGGTAGGAGCCTTATTATGCGGACCCCAAAGTAAGATACCCCCTCCTAATTTCGGGAACTCCCATATGGGTGGTTGTCAAAATTATGGTCCCTTTTTGGATCCTTATCATAACGGCACCTATTTTTTAGGGTACCCCAAAAGGGACCCTAATTTTGACAACTACCCATATCTCTCCCACTTCTTCCGCCTGCACCGAAGGCGGCAGAAGCTGCCAGGTTGGACTCGATCACAGCCCCAGAGATCCTGAAAGGGTTTAGTATACTATTACATTAAATTACACTAAATTACATTAAACTACATTAAATTACATTGAATTACATTAAATTACATTAAATTACAGTAAATTACATTAAAATACATTAAAATACATTACATTACATTAAATTACATTACATTAAATTACATTAAATTACAATAACATTAAATTAGATTATCTTGTCTTATATGCATCTTAAAATAATGTTTTTTATGTATTATGCATTCGATCATCATAAGCTAGAGTATAGTAGATCATATCATACGGCTTCGGGTACTGTACGATTAGCAGTGCTGTGAACTTACTAGTTTCGCGCAGGAAAGTACCCACCCACCCAAGGAATCCCCAAACATGAGGAACTTAGTTGTGGATGGTCATTCAAGCAAGCCACAACACGGATAAGGAGTGGCCCGCGCTCATCTTTTCTGGCGATGTTGCTTTTAGCCAGAATGGGCCTAATACAGCCTCAACCGTACAATACAGCCCGGAACAGGCCCTAAACCCGATGATACAGCCCAGAATACGCCCGAGACCCGAATACAACCCAGCCCTAAACCCTATAATGCGCCCTAAACCCTATGCATGATACAGCCCAGAATACGCCCTAGTATGCTAGAGCCCAAAGTAAATCCTAAATACACCTGAACCCTGTCGAAACCCTAGGAATTAGAGAATAACCGATGTTCATCAAGTTATGCAGTTATGCCCGATGTTCATTAAGCTATGACCAATGTACATTACGTTATGACCGATGTCCAATCAGGACTAACATTCAAATTACCACGTGCGGGAGGGGTTTAGGGGGCTCCAACAGCCCGCTCGAATTTCAAGTTTGGGAGTTTTACCTGCTGTAAACGCAGCGCTGCAGCAGGATTCAAAGGCTTCATCTTGGGAGTCTTTGGGTGCTTTTCGTCAGGTTCCTTCGGCTTCGGAGTGACCCTAAACCCTAAACCCAAAACCCAAAACCCTAAACCCTAAACCCTAAACCCTAAACCCTAAACCCTAAACCCTGACCTGCAAAATGCATCCCTGAGGATCGCACGTATCGGCACGGCGCGGGATTGGGCGGTGGCTTGCAGGGCTCCAGGCGAAGGCAGCCTTCCAGCAGCAGGGATGTCCTGCATGTCTCCTGACATTCAAGGCTCGTCTGGGAGTTTCCGAAATTAGGGGTACCTTATTTGGGGGTCCTTATAATAGGGGTCCTACTATTTAGGGTGATATATTGGGGTCCCCTATTTTCGGAAACCTCCGTCTGAGTTTCAGCAAGGGGGAGAAAGTCTGAAGCCGTCCTGGTCTATAACGCAACGAGCCAGGACGCCACCTGCGCAGAGGCTCAAAGGCAGAACTGCACAAGTTGTAGTCTGACATCCACTGCTCCGAGAGCATCTCGTGCGTGACATTGCGTGGGTTGATAGGTACATGGATGGTCAGGTAACGACACAGAACTGGAAAAGGTGACACAGGTAGACCTGCACGCGGGCAAGGCAACTAGAAGGACAGACGAAAACTTACAAGTACCATAAGAGCTGCAGAGAGGCATCACTTTTATACAAAAAGATTTGTCGAAAGACATAAAAGATACACCAAGAAACACATCACGGCAAAGGCTTGCGAAACAGAGCATGCAGAATCAGACATGACAAGACATAGGAGCACACTAGGTAAAGGCGGGCTCCAGGTGTGCGTAAGCGGACGGCGCGATGTGGATATTTTAAGAGGCACTTCTTTTGCTGAACCTGCGAGCGAGGAGACAGAGACAGCGAGGATGAAGGCAGACGGAAGGAGCTGCTATGCTGAGACCAAGGGGCAGAAATCCAGTCACAACCAAAGATAGGGGATGGATGGATGGGTGGATGTGGGGATGGATGGATGGATCGATGGATGGATGGATGGATGGATGGATGGATGGATGGATGGATGGATGGATGGATGGATGGATGGATGGATGGATGGATGGATGGAGGGGTGGGCACCTGGGTGGATGAGTGGTCGGGTGAATAGATGGCTGCAGGAATGGATGGGCTGATTGCCAACATCGTACAAGGTGAAGCCGTCAGATGTAAATACATGGATGGACTCGAGTGAACGCGACAGGTGGACAGACACTAAGATCGACACAGCAATAGGGATGGTCGAAATGCGTACAATAGCTCTGCGCCGGTACAGATGCTGGAGATGCTCAGACGTAGGTTAACAAACGGACAGGACGCCGCATAGACAGGTTGGCTGCTACAAAACCCGACAGACAGACACAAACGACAGCCTATGAAGCCGTCAGCGCAACGCCACCCAAACTCCGTTTGTTCATATCCTGGTGGTATCTCCGCAGGGATTTCACCTCAGCGGAAACAAGTGAATGGACGAGCGCTCTTTGGATCTCTAGAGATTTCCGGAACAAAGGATTCCCTGAATTGCATTGATTCTGCAAGCAGGTCGCATCGCAGCTCGCACAACGGCAGATCCATAGTAGCTATGGTCCCACTGTCCGTGTTTCCTGATGGACACCTGGATACGCAGGGGAGAGCAAGCGCTCGACTTGCAGTCTTCTTTCGTGCATTCATGGCACGAGGCATTCTCAGTCCCGCCGATATAGGGTGTGCGGCAAGAAACGTCGCCTCGGCTGTTCGTCACTCGCGGGCTAGCAGACTCGAACGAACTTCTCTGCGCCTGCCGAGAATGCATTTCCTTCAATCGTGCCAGCGAGGGTCAAGAACCTCCAGGCTGGACCACTGCGTTCTCGCACATGGTCTCCATCATGCACTTCAAGTCCATTGGTGGCAGTGGACCTGAGCCGAATCAACCGTCTACATATGACTACATTACTGGCTGGTGCGTCAAGACTTTCTGAACTCTGAAGTGCAATGACAAGCAAGTTTGCAGGTGCACACTTCTTTTGTGCTGAGATGCGACGGTGCATCGAAAAGTGGTGGCTTGCATGTCAGCGCAGGCAGGAGGCATGCACGGGAGGAAAATTGGTGTAGTAAGAGGCAGGTAGGTGCGGCACACTCTTGTGACTTCACAGAGTCTTGCCACCCATCCAACTGGGAGTCATCTTTCCAACCACCGAGAGTATGGAACAGTATGGATCACTCTGCAGAGCCTGCCACTCACTTCCCGAAGTTCGAAAAGCTGTGTCGGACAGCGCGGCTTCGTCTCCATGATGCAAGCGAGCCCGGAAGACGTTTCAGAGAAAAGGGGCCTCTCCTCTACAGAGCAGGGCATCCCTAGGGGCCTCTGAAACCAGTGCCGTGTCATTCAGAAACCACCACCTCGTTCTTGTACACCACAACGCAAACTTTGGAACGGAGCTTCGAAGCCACCAGAACTTGTCTCGACTCTTTGCACAAAGGACTGGGGATTACGAATGCCTTGAGCATGGCGAGGACGTGCAAAGCCAACCTCCATTCCACCCTATCAGAAGTGTTTTTTCAAAAGAAAGACAAGAAAGTATGCATTTTGGGGCTCAAGTCATCCCGTTTTGCACGAAACATGTTTCAATGAAACGATCTACACAAGCGACAGCTTGTGGAACTGCACCTGCTCAGGCGAGCAGTCGGCTCTCCTCCTGCAGAGTCCGCGGTCATGTCTCCCATCATACAAGCCCTCATCATGCTCATATGCTATTCTTGATCGTATCGAGTATCGAGATATATCGAGATTCTCTGGGCTGCCTCTCAAGCGACCGGAGCAGCCGCAATCATCTGTGCCCAGGGCAGGGGTGCAGCAGCCACGGCCGCAAGGACCAGCAGGACCCAGGCGACACGGCGCTCGCTCTCCGAGGGCTCCGACGCCTCCTGGAATCAGAAACCCCAACCCGACACCCTAAACCTCGAAGCCTAAGACGGTAAGTCTGATCTGCAATGACAAAAGCGCACATCAGTACTGCCAATGCTGCTGTTGGGTTCGGTTTAGCGATGTCTCTCTTCGTGCTAGCCAGCCTGAGTCCGCATAGTCATAGTGCTGTTCACACCACGACAAACAAAGCTGAAGGAAACAGGAAAGAAGCAAATCACGCGGCAGGGCACGGAGCGAACAGCAGCAAGGACGGGAGGGCAAGCAGAGCTCGTCTAGAAATCAAGGCACTACGGATTCGGATGAGTCCACAAGGCTGCAAAGACTCCCCCACGGCCGAAAAGGAGCACTCCTCTAAGGGCGGCGGTGGCTGCTCGGGATTTAGGTTTGTAAGCAGAAGGGCCCAAGTGAAGGGCAGCGACAGGAAGCCGCTTCCAAAGCACCTCAGCTGCTTGGCGACTTGATCCGAACATGAAATCCAGCAGTGCTCAGGTCTCTGGCAGCAGAAACTGATGCCCTTTGCATGCCATGAGCACCACATTGACAAGACGCCCAGAAGTGGGTAGACATAGCTGGCCTGATTCACAGCAGCACAGTCTAGCACAGTCAAAGGCAACCCAGGTTGGGAGAAGCCACATTCCTCTTACCTTTGGCCTTGCTATGCTGCCGCTGGTGGTTCTGGCAACGAATGCTTTTCAGCAGGGGGCGAATAAGCATTTCCTCCTGCTCCATCTCATTCTCCACATCGCTATGATTGCCATTGCGACTGCAACTGTCGCTACCTTCCAGTTGGTTTCCTCCTCCTCTTCTTCTGCTGCCATAGAACGTGACCCGAAGGCACTATCCATGTGTGGCTTGACAGCACTAGCTAAAACCCGACGTACGCTGCTCTATGGCTTTGTCTAATGCTCCATTCTCTCATGAATATCAAAAATACGGAAATTGCATCTTCTCTGTTAGAACCCTAACAAAAAGCAACGCGGTCAGAGCACACTGTCTTCCACGTCTTAGGCTTATTCAGCGATTCAGGCTTCAGGAAACCCAAAACCATGATATGGGCACTGCAACTTCGTGCGACTTTGGGCGTGGCTTTCGGATCTAGCAGCCGCTAATCCTATAGAGCCCAGGGCCTAAACCTCAGACCCCGGGACCCTGAACCTTAGATCCTGAACCCTAAAGCCGAAAGTTTGGGGTGTCGGTTCAGGGCTGCATGAAGTTAGGGCCCGCGGCGTTGTCTGCCAGCTGCTTCGCCTTCCTTGGCTACGGCCGATTTCCGGCGTCACGGACGTGAGCGGCTGCGGAGTGTTTCTGAGGGTTTAGGGTTCAGAGTTTAACTTTCAGGGTCTAGGGCTTCTGTGTCCTTGCCTGCTAACATGCCCTGCAACATGTCCAACTTCAGCCAAGCAGCTCTCGACCCAGCAGCACAGACCAGGCTGCACGTCCATCTGGACTCTGTGGAAGGAGCGCCTGAACAGATGGCCAAGTAGACCGTCGCTACAAACCTGTCTCACTTACCAACTGCTCCCAGGCACCAGGGCAGACATCAGCAAACCTTGCATTGCTGCAAACCTGACAGCGCTGGTCTCCTGCCAGGACATCCAGCTTTGAGGTTTTACTTGGGATCCTGGTAACGTCCCTTATTTTATGCCCATGTTGATCTAGTTGGTCTTTGGATGTCTCTGCACAGTCTGGAGACTTAAAACACTACAAGGCGACGCCGATACTAGTTCTACTAAGAGCAAACAGGAAGCTGCTAATGATAGAGACTACTCATGAACACGGTAACAGACCGCAATAGCCACAATGGCGGCCGTAATGGTCATAGCAATCATCACTATGCGCTTCGTTCTAATATCACCGTTGCTACTGCTTGCCCAGGTTGCACATGGAGCACAATGGAAACATGTAGACGGAAAAGGGCACATGCAGCCGTTCGGAAACCTATGCAAGAGATAAGCCGCATGCAGAACTAAAATGGGCTTATGCAGCCGTTTAGCACAAGCAAGACCTGCATCACAGCAGATGCTTGTGCGGCGAGCCGTCCGGTGGCAGGCCAGAATGGACGAGGCTTGAACTTCGTCACTTCAGAGGCCGTTTTCAAAAGGTTTCCACAAGGCTCTTCGGACACACTGCTTCGGCGCTGATGGTGCAACATAACCGGAATAATATGAGCACGCAAAGCCCCAAACCCAAAACTACACTAAAATGCCTTCAGCTCCCCCATCCGAAGTTCAGCTGATGTAAAGAATCGGGGTATGCTAACAGCAACGTTTACGGAAACAAGAAGATCGGCAATAAACATCATGATTATAATGATCACCATCATCATCAGCACATCATCATGTTGGGAGTAATAGCCGTAAGAGTACGAATGGCAAATGATAACCACAGCAACACAGATTTAAATGATAGCTGTTAAGCTGGCAACAGCAGTAAGATCATAGCTATGAACAAGAGGTTTCACAGTGCTATTAACAAGCACAAACACCAGAGTTTGACTGTTGACAGTAATATCCGTAACAACAATCAGACTATTGATAGCAATGCCGGTATCAATGGTCATCATCATCACCGCAACCACCACCAACATCGCCGCCATCATCATGATAAAAAGTCTGATGGTGATTCATCATCATCATCATCACCATCACCTTACCAAATTACTAGAAATCATCGTGAAGCAGCGCTAGTGACCGTCATAGTCATACCAGAGCTGGTAACTACGATACTCTGAATTATCATCATCATGCCCTAAACCCTAAACCCTAAACCCTAAACCCCAACAGAAGATCCTCCGGTAGGAAGGCCAGAGGACCACATCCCGCGAGGGTGCTGTGCTTGAGTGCCACCATATCAGGGGAAAGATCCTTGAGAACGGGTGGAAGGGCTCTTTAGAGGCTTCAGAGTTAAGGACTAGGGGTTTAGGGTCATACAGTTTGGGGTACGGGGTGCCGGGCTTAGATGGATGGGGCTTCCAGGGGTTGAGGTCTGGGAGTCTAGGGCTCAAGCTCTTCCAGGCTTGGGGCTTTCCACCAAACAAGGCGAGGTCGTCCCCAAAAATTGCGAGCTCACGAAGCGCTCCGCAGATCGCACGATGCAGGCCGAATACTTGAATATTGAGATCTCGCAAAGTTATCGTCTGAAGCAGAGTCCAAGCAGTGGTAACAGCTAAGGTTCTCCTGCAGAAAATTACCAACAGAAGCTTTTCTGCACTTCAGTGGGTTTGTCTACCCAAATCACAACACGCTTCAAGAGATGTGTCTTTTCCTCTTCCAACATCTCCAGCATGCACGCACATTGCCTTCCCATCATTGAACTTACAAACGAACCAACTGAGAGCCTGCGCGGATGTTTGTGTGTGCGAACGCTCCAGCATGGCCCAATCCGATCTACAGTGGCGCGCAAAGGTGTCCCCGTTTTTCGATGTGGATGAAGTCACCTAGTAGTTGCATCTTTCCGAGTGGCTGCCCCAAGAGACAGCAACAGCGATGCCACCGTGACAGCGGCAGGAGCAGCAAGGGAAATGGCCAATGCCTCAAGTTTCGCAGGCCCACTAATGTGCCAATTTCAGGTGCCGACCGCCAAGCCTGACATCCCGAGACTCTCGTTCATTCCTCTTCCGACTCTTCCTCTTCAAACTGATTTCAGCTTTGGCACTGCAGAGCGATTGGGGCTGGCAGTGGCTGCCGGCGCGAAAACCCCGATGAGGCCAAACTGCGGCGATGGGAGGAATGTCCTGCAGGGCAAACGTATCAAGAAGACCGCGCTGGGATACACGAAGCAACAAAGAAGTTCGTCCCACGTCAGGCCGTGATGGTCCTTGGGCCTATGCTGGTACTGTTCAGGCTTGCGACGACCGTGCGCGCGACTTCTCCCACCAATAGCAAGACCAGCATGAGAATCCACGGGGCTGACGAGCCGGGCTGGATCACTGCTCCCAGCTGCTGCAGCGACGGATTGCTGTCGAGTTGCGTGCTGCACCACCAGACGAGAGCTAGGGAGAGAGGTCCCATCATGGCATCTGTCACCCGGGAAGTTTCCGTGGCATCACGGACCAGCAGTTCGTAAGGCCTGGAGAGGGGCCCTTCATTCTCCTTCTCCTTCGTTCGCAGGAGGTGTAGGACAACCGGGTAGCCCAACTCCTTTTCCACACTTTGGCGCAGAACTGCTTCAGAAGCCTGCCAATTCTGGATAGCCCCCTCTCTTGGGTTGCCAGACACCACCACACCGTCCAAGCGATTCGACCAACTCGAGGATGTTCCTGTCGAAGCTTGACGGCTCGAAGTCCCTCTTCGTCAGGAGCTTAGGGGGACATTCCGGGTCGGGACTTCGATCTCAGATCTTAGAGTGAAACTACCCCGAAGGTCCGAAGAACGGCAGCTCCATCCGCTGGAGGCCGCTCAAGGCTTTGCGCGCCTGCACGCATCTGAAGCTTTGGAGATCTCCAGACAGGAATGATCAGGCTTGCCGTTCCTCGACCCTGCCACACGCAGAATCCTCGAAAACCCTCCCAACACAAAAGCTGTGCAGGCCGCCTTGACGTCAGCGCTGTCCTTGCGGGCTTGGTCCAGCGCTTCCTGCAGCACCTCCCTGTTCTCCACAGGCTTTGGCTGCACGCTGCGCCGAAAGCGGTCTGGCTGTTGAAGGATGGCTCCAAAGGTCACTAAGGCAGACACCTGACAGGGCTCTGATCACAAGGTGCCGATCTTCGATTCTCTCTGCAGCTGCGGCACAGTGAAGGCAATCGGACGTAGCCACCAGGCCTCTGCAAGGTTCAAGAAGCTCTTTGGAATCGGGACTGTGCATACGAAATTCAACCAGGCCTCTGTCGTCTCCCAGGCAACCTCCCAGTAGGCCGCGCTGTCTTTGCGACCTTTCGCAGCTGTCACGGCTCTAGCGAAGGAATCGAGGGACATGTGGACATGTGGACGGGTCCTTCCGCTGTGCGGCGGGCTGCTCGAAGCCAGGCAGCTGCAGCAGGCGCCAAGGCCTCGCGGACTCGTCGGAATGCTTTGCAGAACTACAGACGCTGCTGATTCCCACAGTATTCGGACTGCATGCTCCTAAGTGAGAGATCATGGAGCAAGCCCTCTCATCCTTGTCTGTGCCCCGCCGAATCCAGGTGCAACCCCTCCTTCTTCGGGCCTCATCTGCTTCCGTTTCTGTGGAGCCCTCCGGACGCCGAGTGGTGGCTATTCCTGGGCTCGCAAAGAAGCTCTCCGCGATCTGAAGACAGGTCCCACTTTGCGGCAGGGGCTCGGGAGAAGCACTCAATCAGCGTTCTGCTTGACAGAGCGACTATGGCCAGCAGCACCCCAGCCCGAAATACCATCCGTCCTGCCCGACATCGCATGGCTTTGGTCTACCCAAAGACTTTGCACACAGCCCTGTTTGAGCCCACGAAGCTACTGAGGATCGGCCAGGTCGCGCTTACAAACAGAAGCAAAGATAGAACAAGCAAGCCCCACGGCCGAGACAAGGGCATGCTGCTAGAGGCAGACATCCGGAGAGCTCCTCGGCTAACCCGAAGACAACAAAAGAAACTTCCGGGCTCTCCTCTGCAGCTTGGAAGCTGCCACAACCTCGCACCCTGGGGATGCACCGGCACGACAGGCGACACTAGGCCTCCCTGCATAACCTGAGAGAGCACCAGGCAGCTAGCCAAGGACACGCGATCATGCCAAAGCGACTACTGAGAATACCTACATGGTCGTCAAGTAAACCCAAAGCCTTCAAGTGTCTTCCAACTGAAGCACCTCAGCGTTTCTATGCAAAGATCGTGAGGCTCCCACCATCTGCGCAAGTGTAGGTCCCGGTCTCGTTGTCGTAGTCATAGCCCGATGGCATAGGCTCCGGCGGTGGACAAGAGAGGATCTGGCGGCCACATACTTTTACAGCTTCTTACAGTGGTCGATATGGGAGTTTCCAAAAATTAGGGTACCTTATTTTGGGGTCCTTATAATAGGGGTCCTACTATTTAGGGTACTATATTAGGGTCCCCTATTTTCGGAAACTCCCATATGACAAGAAGGTCGAGGATCTCAGAGACGGCTTCGCTTCCGAGGGCAGGTGTGTGACAACAATGGCGTTCTTCGGTAAACAAAACCTAGATCCGAAACCCTCAACAATCCAGTTCTCTAAATTAGGGTCCCTTTTTAGGGTCCTTTTTATAAGGGTGCCGTAATATTTGGGGGTTTCCGAAAATAGGGGACCCTAATATAGTACCCTAAATAATAGGATCCCCATTATAAGGACCCCAAAATAAGGTACCCCTAATTTTCTGAAACTCCCATTTTGGGGAACTAGAGCTTTCCCCTAAACCCTAAACCCTAAACTAGAAGCGGCCTCGCAAGCTGGTGGTGTCCAGTCAATCCTTCGCCCTGGCTCAGTGTTCTCGTCCGGGCACTCAGCGACCTCAAGTGCTGACAGTCCCAGGGTTTAGGGTTTAGGGTTTAGGGTTTAGGGTTTAGGGTTTAGTCCCATTCGAAGAGCCAAAACTACAGTTAATGTAGGAACCTGACTAAGAAGCCCAGTGCCTTTATTAGGGTTCTTCATATGATCCCTGATATATTGGGGTTTTCGGGCCAGGGTTTCTTAATCAGGTTCCTACATTACCACGAGCATCATCTAGAAATATTAGTAGTTACTAGTCTTGGTATTATTGCTAATTATTGCCACTATTATCCGGAGCTGTGAGCTTAGGCGTGCGCGGTGGGCAGTCCGACATGTGGCTCACGACAGGTCCTCAGTATGCAGGGGTGTATAAATCGGTCAAGACCAGCGAGGCAAATGCTATCACTGAAGGCAGGGTTGAATGAAGGATGCTTTTTGTTGCGTGCTCCATTGCTCCTGCTTAGTCGGACTACCGAACGAGTTTAGGGTTTGAATGAGCCATTGAATGAAGCCTTGGCACACCTCGCAGCTTTCCCCGGAAGAGATGTTCACACAGTCAGAGAAGTCCAACGCGCACTCCTCAGGTTTCACGCAGGCACTCAGCGACTCGAGCCCTGACTCTTATAGTATGGCTGAATCCCAAACCCAAAAACTGATTCTTGTGTTATCTACTTCTAGTAAGCTGCGTGGGAAGGGACGTCATATTCTGTGGGCACGGCACATCCCAATATGGGATTGCAGCCTTCCAGAGCCAGATTCACCTCGCAGCAATCCTTAGAAGAGCACCGGGACTCGTTCCCTATGAAAAGGAGCATGACGATCATGGTCGTTGTGATGCTGGTTCTTGTGATTATTCTGAATCTTCTGATGCCTCTGGTTTTTCTGAACACTCTGACTAGTCTGGTTATTCTGCCTGGTATGATTCTTAGAACTGTTGTGATCATTTTTGATGTTTATGATTCTGATTCTCCTCAATACTAAGATAGTTGTCATTCATGTGCTGCTGATGATGATCTTGATGATGATGACGATGACGCAGATGATGATGATGATGATGATGATGACGCAGACGATGATGATGACGATGCTGGTGATCATGATGTTGATGATGTTGATGTTGATGTTTATGTTGATGTTGATGTTGATGTTGATGTTGATGATGTTGATGATGATGGTGGTGGTGATGATGATGATCTTGATGATGGCTATGTTGATGATACGATGCTGCTGATGGTGATGATGGTGAGGATGGTGATGGTGACGATGGTGTTGATGGTGGTGATGGTGGTGGTGATGATATGATGATGGCGGTGTCATGATGAAGATGACGATGGTGATGATTATGACGAACATTATGATGCTCATGCTCATTATCATGACTATGATTACTATGGTGTATACATATGTTCACATGTATACACACTCCAAGTAAAAGCATGCTTCTTTGAAGACGATCCAAGAACAAGCGGCCCCTATTGTTGAGAACCCTGTCAGCTAAGCCATGTGGCCCAAGAAGACTCGCAGCTCGACCTTACAGTGCCGGCATAGCCAGGAGCGCAATGCCAGCCAGAGGTGGTCCGCTGGTATCCTCTCGAGCAGGACTGTAGGGGCTTGGGGTTGCATTCCAACATGTCTGAGAGACGCAAGTCATAAACGCAAACCCGACGTTGGAACCCGATGCACGATTTGAATATGGATAACAAGCTGAGCACTGTGGAGACAATGAGCATCAAAATACATGTGGATTGCACAAGCGAACAAAAAAGCTTGGCAGTAACAGTAGGCTGTGCCGCAGGTGCCTTCCCCGATCGGCTCGTCGCAGAAGGGCATGACGCACCGCGGGAGGGACCATACCAGGCCACCAGCCTCGTCCTGGTTGTCCTGGGCCACTTAGACGGGAATCTGCAACTTAAACCCGCAACCCTAAGCCTGCACAATTACCTTTGACAAATGTTGCCGTGCCCTAGTACAACCGACTGTAGGTTAGGTTCCGTCCAATGCTACCCAACTCTCAAATTCCAACCTCAGCAAAGTTGCATGAGGGCAGTGGGCTACTTCCATTTCACCAACGAACGGCGGGATGCAGGTGAAGTTGCACTCCTGCGCAAAACACAAGAAAGGAAGCTTAAACCCCTAAACCCTCAAAGAACGACAGGTTTCGCGACAACGGGTGCTACACTCGATAGATAGGTAGATAAACAAACAGACATACACACGGAGAGACAGAAAGACAGACAGACAGGCAGACAGATATGCACCTGTGGACAGGTGGGTGTGGGTGGATGTACGTGGGTGTGGGTGGGTGGGTGGGTGGGTGGGTGGGTGTGAGGGTGTTTCTGCATGTATACATGTATGTATGTATCGAAACTATACAAGAGTATGTATAATTAGAGTGCGTAGGTCGGCCTCTCTGTCTGTCCGTCCGTGCGTCTGTCTGCCTATCTGGCTGACTGACAGTCTCTGTCTGTCTCCGTGTATGCATGCGTGCATGTGAGCGTGCATGCAGGTCCAAGAAGCATGACCATGCTGTCGCGTGCATGTATCCTGCATGTCGAAGAAGCAAGGGTGCGTAGGGACTTACACATACTGAGAGGCACAAGGACAGAGAGAGAGAGAGAGCGAGAGGGAGAGCGAGAGGGAGTGCGAAGGTCGTGCTCATGGCTCGTGACGGTTGACAGCAGAGAACTGCATTTCACTGGCGAACATCTGAGAGCACGGCCCCCTCGGGCAGTGGCTCCGTCCAATGGGCTTCATCCGCACCCTGTGCCGCTGGATTCTTATCCGAAACGGATCAGTTCTGCTTGTGAGTCAGGTGAGACACGCTTGGCGCTCCCCATGCACTTGACAGCAAGCGGAGGAATAAAGCCTGAAGATTTCAATCCAAGATAGCCGAAGCTTCAGCACCGAGCCTCCAGGTGCTGCTCCAGCATGGACCTCTCAAGAGACCTCACGCTCCGGCTCTTGCACCGCACCGTCCATGAAAAAGACTAGTCTTGCACCCCATGCCGGTCAAGCACTCGGGCATGTCCAGGGCGCCGGCTCCGCAAAAGCACTGGCTACTTGCGAGACCTGAACCCCCAGGTCCACCCGAAGCTGAAAGAACAGAGCTTGGCTTCGAGTGGGATACAACACGAGAATCATAATCGTAGGTAGTGGAAGCAGCGCTAGGAGAAGTGGTGGTGGTGGTGGTGGTATTAGTACCAGGACAGTACAAGTGCTAGTGCCAGAAATAATGACAGCACGCAGTAGTGAATAATAGTCGTCGTCGTAGGACAGCCCTAGCAGAAGCAACGCACTGGCACCGTTTATCATTCTTGCTGCTCCTGTGCTTAATCGGACGGTTGTTGTCTGTATTGTATAGACTGCGGCACACATATCCCCTACAATCAGCCTACGCGAATCTCTTGCTCTGTCCGGGGGTGTGATACTGCGTGACATTACACGTCATTCTTCTTTTGGCAACAGTCGCACCATATACCTCCGCGCCATCAGAGAAAAACAATCGGGTCAGGCCTGATCGTCGGCGAAAACGTCATTTCGCTGCTCAACCTTCCACTATGTAACATGTTGCCCGGATGTTAGGGGCTTATAAACACAGCAAAAGCCAGCCGCCAGCCCTTCCCGTGCAAAGCTGCAGCCTTCGAGAGAAAGCTTTCTGCAGCCCATCTCTCGTCAAGCTGCTTGGGGTTGTACCTAAGTGGAAGTCCCGCGCAGTTCATGAGAAGGGTACCGACGGCACCATACTACGCTATGCTACTATAAGATCCCCCCCCCCCAAAAAACCACCCTATTCTACTTATTACGGCCCCCAGATCACGTGAACGGTAAATCCGAAACTCAAAGCTCCTAACCCCAAGCCTCTCTTCCCATCTCGATTTGATCGCCGTGCCGCTGCTTTAAAAGCGAGCAGACCAGCTTCGCGAACTCATCGACGCGAGGTCCTCTGTCCGTAGGCATCAAGCCGGACCTGAGAGGAGGCTCGAAAAGCTTAGGGTTTGGGGTTGAGGGATTTTGGTGCAAGGGTTCAGGGTTTAGGTTACGGTTGAGGGATTTGGGGGTAAGGCAGTTTTGGGCTTAGGGTAACGCTCATCTGAATATTTATCTGCTTATTGGTTTGTTCGTATCTATACCTGTACATTTACCTGTACTGTAGTAATACAAAGGCTTCATGGTCGCGCTTGCAACTTCCTACAGTAAAGGGAACCCCACTTTCTGTGCAAAGGGCGAAGTCTCATGCTGATGCAAGGCTGCCAAGTTCACAAAAGAGAGAGAGAGAGAGAGAGAGAGAAGGGGACTGCGAGATACTTGTGCTGCCGCTCCTGCCAGAACCCCTCGGCTGAGAAGCAAACGCGATGTACCTGAAAGGACTCTCGCGCACTTTGGGCAGCGAAGAGATATTCTGCCCTCCCCTGGGAAGGACTAGCCTTGACGTTTCAGGATTTGGGAGCCCACGAGCCTGGCATCCTGAAGCAACTGCAGAAAGTTGGCTCCGAACTCAGAGCGGCTGTCCTGCAGTTCTTGGAACTAAGGGTCGCATGTGTTTGGCAGCGCTGTGCAGTGCGATTGCTTTCAAGGGCATGTGGTAAGCCTGTGTAGCTGCATCGCGCAGGCCCCGCCCTGCATCGCCGAGACTACGAACTGGGACGCGTAAAGGTTGAAGGTGTCGTCTTGGAAAGCCCTTAAGCCTTTGTCTCGAAATCCAAGATCGCAGCTAAGGTCCTGCTCGATGACCTCCGCAAAATCCTTCTCCCAGTCTCCCTCGAGGTGGAAGAGCCAGACCCGAAACCGCTCCCTGGCAGATTCCGGGAGACAGAAGCCTAAGAAACAGAGGTATCCTCGGGGTGGAAGGTGTCGGACACATGGGATGTGTAAAAAGGCTGACCGAAGAAGAGAGAGCAAAACACGAAACACGACAGTGTTTCAAGAAGGGTTGCTCAATTCTTGCTTTCCAGGTCGTGCCTAGTTCCCTGTTGCCCAAACTTCAAGCTGAGTGCCCTGCCTCAAAATCGCAGCGTTGGCTTCTCGCCAATGCTCTATCAAGCAGACGCCGGCATATGCCTGCTTGCAGTCTCATGCCAGTAGCCGGCGTTTGTTCGCTGTGTCTTGGCATCTTCACGATCCTGATCCTCCTTGCCACTTTCGACATGGAACTGAATACGTGGTAACATCACGTGCTGAGCCGGGCTAGAGCTGGCGGTAGCTTTCCTAGCGTCATCTGCAAGACATCCAAGCCTTCCAGAAAGCCGCATCAGCCCACAAGCCATTGCCTTAACAGACTCCGGCAAACTTGGAGCTTCAAATGCGTCATCTTGCGTCATGCAGATTGCTATACTGACCCTACAGGTCAACAGCAGGCGGACAGGCTGCGAAGCCGGGAGCACGAGGGTGCCGCCTGCCCAAGGCAGGTCACCTTGCAGGGGTAAGGGAGACGATTGAAACATTAGCTTGAGTGGGCACAGCATGTGGAAGAGCAGATCACTAGTAGCAGATGGCCTCCATGAACAAGAAGAGGTAGGCCCGCAACTCCTCAGTCGCCCAGACGGCTTAATCGACTTGGAGTGATTCCCGACGAGCCCCCCCCCTTTTCCTGCCTCCTGAAGCTCCAGGACCAGTTCCACCAGTGGCGCCGGCCGTGGTCGGGAGGGAGATGAGGGAGATGAGGGGCCTTCGCATTCAAGCTTTTGGGGCCCGAACGTCGTGCCTGCCTGCACAAGATGCCTGACAGAATTCCTAGAACACCTAGAACACAGGCACGTAGCCTCTTTGCAGTATGCTTGGTCGCCCTCCCCTCCCACGAAGCATACTGGTGAAGCTCAGAGATGGACTCCGTGGGCCCAAGAGAGCGACCTCGCAGGTTACAATAGGGTCAGGTTTTCAAGGTCCTTGCATTTGAAGTCCTTGCACGACATGCAAATCCAGCCACGACATAACCGTTCAGTGCATGCAGGCCTCGAAATCCATGGCTCCTCATGTGTCCAGGGTCCGTCTGTTCATGTACATGATGTTGTTGGTTGGCTGCTTCTTCAGCATATGAGCTTTGGTTCAACTCCTTGGTAGAATCCCCCCACGGACTTCTGAATTTACGGCACGGGTTATAGCAACGTGATGCTCAGGATGCATCATTTCTTCGAGCTAAGATTTACGAGAAGCTCACGATGGCCGGCGGCAGAACACAACCGAGGTGCACTTGCCAACGGCAGGAAACCCAGATTGCAGCATAAAAGCGCAGGAAAGCACTGTGGACAGCAAGCTTGTCAACCTGCAGCACATGCTATATCCTGACAAGATCAGCCGACAGTCCCTGAAAGGAAGCCAACATCTCACTACACGTATTGGACTAGGATCGGCGTGGATGGCACTCACGTTGCTACCTGTAGCTGTGTTTCAGGTCTGAACCTGCTCAATGCCTCAAAGCGGCGTGCGACACAGCAGGAGTCATGCATGTGTTGTGCGACCATGCTAATGTATCCTGACGTCTTGAAGGAAACTCTGCAAGTCAGGTCTTGCTTAATTAATTGATAGACCTGCACACACGGAAGCACACCGGCAAATCGCCTTTCAATCAGACCATCATCTGATAGAGCATCGTCTCCCTAAAGAAACACAGGCTTCTCGACAGTCAATGCTGGAAAGCCACACAAAACCGTCTTCGCTCTTGTCGGCAGCCAAAGCTGGAAAGCGCAAAGCGAATTAACGATCGATCATCCTGCTCAAGGCTTCACTCAGTAGTTTCAGCTGCATAGCGTGTTGACTGCCGTTGCTTCCAGACGGCCAGGACCCAGTCCGTGCCCAACCAGCTGGCACAAATCGCGAGGAAGGCCAAACCGAAAGCAAGCCCGGATCCTCCTTGGGAGAGGTACGGCACGACCCCAACCACACCGGGTCCGGGGCAGATGCCAATTAGACCCCAACCGAGCCCGAAGGCACAGGAGCCAGACACAAGGGATCCATAGTCTCCCCGTTTCGCAAGCTTCTCGAATGCACAATCATTGTGATCTCCACACAGAGGCTTCCGGTCCTCCTTCTCCGCATAAAGGAAAGACGGTGCAGAAGCACAGAGGCCGCAGCCCATCACGAGCATCAGGCTAGGGTCCCAGGTCCCAGCCACGTCCAAGAAGTTCAGGACCTTGTCTTGCCTGGTCATGCCTGAGCAGCCCAGACCCAAGCCAAAGATTAAGCCACTGGCCGTGGGCGAGACATAGCTGCGGACTCTGTAGGGTAGACAGACCGTGAGCACTATGAGGACTGCGGCCGCGATAGTGGCACCGACCGGAAACTCCCAGCGCGGAGGCCACTCCAATTTTGCAATGCCCCCGCTCGTCTGGCGATCCACAGCGTGTCGCGACACGGCCACAGTTATTGCTGCCACGATCATGAAGCATGGAACCGCAATCCAGCTCCTTTGGCTGAGCCTGGGCAGGCCGCAAATCCCATGTCCTGAGGGAGGCCACAAGAATCCAATGTCGCGGCGGGCAGGAGTGTTGTTTGCACAAGAGTTACGAGCACATAGTAAACCGAGCAAGAAAAAGCAGAACAGCAAAAGTTGCAAGTCGCCCGAGCATGCCCTAGCGCGAGCCGTAGCAGAAGTAGCCAACAAATCACAGAGTCCCTGAAAGGCACAGCCAAGATGCCACAATTGCAACTAGGAGCGGCTACGATTGTGAGTGTTGACCAGTGCCAGTCTTTGCTGTTGTTCTTGCGGTTGAGATTTCTCTGCTTGTGATTACCAGCCCTCTTTTAGTTCGACGCCCAAGTCAAGCAGGAGCCCTGTAAGAAGCAACAGGCTCCCTTTTCTGTCCTGAGGTGCAACCACGACCCAGTCTCGTGCCCAACCCGATGCAAAGGCCACCAAGCAGGTAGCGCAACACTGAGAAGGGCATGGCGTCCGGAAACGCAAAGCTGCCATTCAGCAGAAGGTTGGCAAAACCGGCCAAAACGAGTCCCAGAAGAAAGAGCCACTTCCACAAGGTCTCCCGGAGCTGGCACGTCCCCAAACTTCGTAAGGCAGGGCCCAGGATGCCACTGATGCCGGTGATCTTGCCATCGGCCATGTAGGCCAAAGAAGCCGCGCTGCCTATCAGCAGGCCCCCCAAACTCGACTCCACGGGGGTGAAGGCCATCGGCTCCAAAGCAACTCACAACCAAAGAGGACTCTGAAAAGGGAAGACGGCTGCCGACGGGAGGACCTCGTACCGAAGTGCGTGAGAGCAAAACAAGTGTGTTCATGAGCGCATCCCTGCGAGCGCCCCAGGTTTGCCTTTTCACCATCCTCGAGCAGACGCGAGCCTCCTTTTGGTGCGGAGGTGTCAGAGACATTAGCTGGTACAGCCCGAGGGAGACGATTCTTTCCATCTCAACATGCAACCATAGCCACTACCCGCGAGAAGTACCTACACTTGGGCTTCAATTATCGTCCTACCCTCAGCGCATGAATCGATGTCGGGGAAGTGCCAAGGGCAGCCACCCCACAGGTCAGAAATCGGCACCAAGACTGTGTCGCAAGCAAACCCGTGGCAATCAGGGCCTCCATAGATAGTTATTGAGTCAGAGCAACCCTAAGAAGCCAGTTCAATCAATTTTGCCAGTACGTTTGCTCTCTTCTTCACAGTCGAGGCATGTGATCATGGCACCCCTCTCAACCCGTCTCTGTCCGCCCTCGGCATCGCTGAGGGAAGCGTGAATCGGCCATGTACCTCCAGGAGACTCGGGGACTTGGTGCTTCCTGCTTTGATGGATTTAAGGTGCAAGGTGCTGCTAAGTGTCTAAGGATTCAATTGGGGAAAAGGGTAACCTTTCTTGTGGGACTGGTGGAGATTTGAGCCCGGCTTTTCGGAAGAGATGCGAAGATGAAGAGTCAGTGCAGAAGCAAAATGCCCAGCTCTGGCGAGAGCACAACCTCTAAAAAGCTGATGCAATGAAACCAAGACGGTTCACGTTCATCCTGGACTGATAGAGCTCGGTGTTTGTACGCGAGTTCAGGGCTCCGGCTCGCAGCTTGACGATTTCTTGTGGCTTCCATTGAAGAGTGTGTCCATGTCTTGAAAAGGCATGGGAGCTAAACCCGTACCACCGGTGTTCCGGGAGCCATTCCTGTCACCCGCAAACTTCCTGGAAAAGCTGAGCACCTAGCATGCTGCCACTGTCTCGGCAGCGTGCCAGCAAGTCCTAAGTGCCCGGCGACAGATTGAGCAGAACTGAAAAGGAAGCGCAAGAACGAGTTAACACAGCGCATGATGCTTCGAATCTCACAAGCCAACGGCCCAAGAGCGTCGCCAAAAGCAAAACCGTCCGCCGTGACAATGTAGTCCAAGAATGTCCGAGAAATGCACTTCATTACTCAGTGCGTGTACACACACATGCACATCTACATGCTTTACATGCACGTCTATGGAGAAACACATATGGACCTGAGTGTCACCGAGCCGCGCTTGCTGGAGCTGTTGCTGTCTTCGGCAGCACGAGTCGCGTGGCATTGTCCAAGCGGCCCATGTCAGGCTCCCCCTGTGCGTCAGGCACCTCGAAGACCTGCATCCGTTCATGTGATGCTTTCAGACTCTCCATGATTGTGATGTACATGATTGAACCATAAAACCTAAACCCTGAACCCCAAATGATGCTGACCAACGTTATGCGGGCGAGGATGAGGGCAAGGCCGGGGTGTCGGGAAGCAAGTAGCGTCGCCGGTGGCGGGGTGTGGCGGTGCGCCCATGCGTCTTAGTCTTAATGCTGTTGAACTACCTCCTGTCCTTGCACTTGACATGGTTCGCATTCGTGGAATTCGTGGAAGTCGTGTTCCGCACAGGCCGTGACTGTGGTAGCAATGGCTTTGTCGTATTGCTGCATGCAGCCTTGGCACAAAGTTTTGGTTGCTAGTCGTATCCTTCCGCGGATGATAGTGAAGATAGCATTGCTGTTATGATGACGATAAACGAAAACAATAAGCTTGTCGATCATTGAATCATGGTGGATCGTGTTGTTCCTTTGTATGCATTATGCCATCATTATGCATACATACCTGTAAAGACCACTGATGCATGCTACTAGCCTAGTTAGTCTTATCAATGGCAGTCTTCTTGCCATTCAACTTATCACTACACTTACCACCAACATAGAATTGGAGCACACGGGGCAGAGACACAAGTACGGCATTCTGGCTTGGACTGGCAAAGTTGCATACCAGAACACTCCTGCTGCACTGGCGCAGCAGTGGATGCAAAGGGATTACAGGGAGCTGGAGCCGTCTGTGGAATCCTTTGGTTCCTTGATGTTCCTTGTACATGGGTAGCTCTCAAAATGTTGGTCCCTTTTGGGGTACCCTAAATAATAGGGGCCGTATTATAGTAAGGACCCAAAAAGGGACCATAATTTTGACAACCACCCACATGCATCCGAACTGGAGATCTCCGGCTAAACGGCATCGAGCAGCTAAACCTCCGAGCTGGCCGGCTGGGCACAGGCCTTGACGGCCATTCTGATGCGGCTCTGCTGCAATTGGGTTCGCATGGCCTGTGCAGCGTTCGGATGCTGCGTCTTGAAGGTCCGAAGATCCCGACTCTGAGAAACTGTCGTGCTTCCGGTATTCTAGAGCTTGCTAGAGCTTGAAGCCATGTCAGCGAGTGACATCTGCACGGGCCTCCACATCCTCCGTGAAGCTGTTCACGGCGACAACTTGATCCCCCTGGCGATTCCGTTTCATCTTCACTTGCCCTTGCCCCGCTAATACAGGTGGGAAGTCATGCCACGAAAGTGCAGCCTCACAATCATAGTCTATCATAGTATAACATTATATTCTAGTATACTATATCATATTACTTTATATCATAGTCGATTCGATCCCACCTCGTTGACCTGAAGGTCTGGATGCTCCGCATTCCACCTGAGTGCAGACTCAGCTTCACAAGGCAGCCTCGGAGATCAACCGTTGCACACCGCAGCAAAGACGTTGTCCAAAGCACTTCGCTTTGAAAGGAGATTCTGCAGAGCACTAGCCTCCTCCTCCTCCTCCTCCACGGTTCGCCTTTTCTTTGTGCGCCAGATGGCTGTAGGGACTCTCGAGCTCAGTTTTGGGCCAGTGGGGGCCAAGTCAACTCCATAGCCTTTCGAGACTGTCGTCTGCGTCCTTGCTGAGCACCGTCTTCACGACGGGGGAAGCATGCAACCATGTGCCTTCAGACTTGCCGCTCGCTCTGCCAGGCTGCACCAACTCCCAGAGGATTGCATGCGACGATTTGAGAGCAACTCCGCTGCTTCCGCTTCGAGGCGGAGCTCTGGAATGGATTCTTCGTGGCTTTCAAGGAGACCGGATAATCTAGTATAAGACTATATAATGCAATAGCATAAAATTTGATATAGTTATGATATACAATGAAATGTACCGGAAGATAGTATAACACGGGATAAGTACGGTATAATACTGTGTGATGCTGTCCTGCTTGCATGCGAAGACATGTGCTGTGCTCGGGGGGCCATGTTCAGGGCACAACGACACGTTTCCAAGAAAGCCCGCTGACTGCCACATTCTCACAGGGCACATGAGACGCATGAAAAAAATATGCTATAATACCAGATCATATACTACCATATACTATCTAGAATATCATATACTGAAATATCAGACAATATTTAAGAACAAATATAACTACTTCGACAAGACTTCCGGGCTGAGAGCTCCGGGCTTGGCAAGAAGCCCATCAGGATCAATCCAAGTGATCTGCAGCGACCTGCCAGCGGAAACCTTCAAAATGCTAGCCAAGGAGATGGAGCTCGCCTATTTGCGATGTGGTTAGTGTCTTATTCGGTGCATTACGCCTGCCATGTCGACATCTGTATGCGAATCTTGGCGATGGGAGTGCAAAATCATGTCACCCATTCTTCGAACTCCGGCACTCCCGCACCTGCCATCGTCCCCTGGCACATTCGCGAAGCCAAACCTCCCGGCTTTCAGATTGACATTCGGGGGGTCCTTCGGAACTCTGCTCTCACCCTGCCGTGAATTGCGGGGAATCAGCGTTGAACCAGTTCTTGAAAACGTCGCCCCGTCACTTTGAGAAAGTGGGAGGGAAAGACAGAGGGGGTGAGACAGAGGGCATGATGAAATGCGGAGAAAGCATCGCCGATGGCCACTCTGCCATCTTATCTGCAGAACAAGCTGCCAGCCTGTCCGCTTGCACCACTGGCACCATGTCCTGAGTTGCGCCACGCAGCCTTCTAAGCACCGGTCCCTCCGTGAATCTTGACCTCGTGGCCTTGATTGTAATAATCCGTGCTCGTATGACTGGCTTATGATACCGTATCCCTTCAACTTTACTAACCCTTGATGACGGTACCTGGTAGCCCTTGTAGTAACCCTTGATCATCGATGATCGCAACCCGTATCACAGCCCTGGTAGCTGACTCTAAGACTCTGAGGTCTCGTCCCGCTTCGTGCCGCATCTCCGGCAAAACCTCGAGGTTGGACCATGTTGGCTCTTGGGCTTAGGGCCTAGGGCTTGGGGTTTGGGGTTTGGGGTTTCGGAGGGTTTAGGGTTCAAGAATTCAGGGTCTAAGGATCTAATCCTTAGGCTTTTTAGGGTTTAGGGCTTCGGGCTTCTAGCCAACAGCAGACTACAACACACTGTCGCACGGCTTCTTCAGGAGCCGTCGCAACTTGCTCTGGAATGATCTGTATTATGTGCAGGAAAGCTGGTTCTAGTCAAGCTGCATTGTGCTCTGGGTCACAAGCTGCCGTTCTAGCCCGGATGCCGAAGCCACATTATGCAGTACAATTCTGGCTCTGCCGGTGGCTCTTGACCCCGTCTACCGCGGGTTCGCTTCCAATGTCTACCACCTACCATTCTTGTGAGTACCACTCCCCCTTCCCCCCCCCCTCCCCCCCCCCTTCCCCCCTAAGGCGGATGCTCTGAGTCTGGCATGAACCTGGAGATCCGGTAACTAAGCAATGGGCTTTGGTACAAGGATTTAGGGGTTGGGGACCAGGTCTTAGGGTTTCGGGCTTGGGTCACGGTGTAGGAGATGAGGGTTTAGGATGTGCGAATTACGGCTCAGGGTCTTTTGTCGCTGCGGTCCACGGTCGCTTGTTTTCTGCAGTGTTATCTTCGAAGTGTTGCCATGTACTCGTGCCCTCCCTACTCCCAGTACCTCTGTTGCGAGTTTTACGGCGCTCATCGTTGTGGCTGCGGCAACACTTCTTGCCGTGCCTACCGCTCTTTGTTTCTAGGTGCTCTTTTTATTCTTGCTACTAGTAGCTGCAGCTGCTGCAACCATGTATTTGTGCGATTCTCTGTGCTACCGCCATGTTTAGGTACTCGTTTCTCGGTCCCGGATAAAATCTCTACAGTCACCTTTAATTTGTGCGGCAGATGCTTGTCTGACAAATACCCCTTTCTACGATAGCTGGCCGAAGCACCTGTTGCCACAGTTCCAGCACTGGTCCGCTGGCTTCAGCGACTCCTGCCCCACGAACTGCTGGCACATATCGGTGGCCGTTCAAGGGCTACGGTTCCGCGTTCGAGGTCATGATCATGCAAAGCATTATCACATGCACCGACATCTTCGCCATCATCGTCACCATAATCAACATAGTTGTGCTCAAAACTTGGCTCATCCTGCATTCCAACGGGATCCCCTAGCGCGGACAAGAGGGCGAGAACGCCTCTCCACCATCCAAACTCTGAAAGAGTTTACACTTGTTCGCCGATGTGACGAGATGTGTTCTTCGGGACAAGCACCGTGCAGCAATAGAAGCGATTCACACAACAAGTCGCAAAGCCCAACTGAGCCCATCTGTGCGCAAAGACGGATCGGCCATTGTCCACTGCAACGCTCTGCTGCTAGAGCCCGTGGCAAAACGTAATGATGGCGCAGAGGGACGGGAGTATGATAGTGATTGTGGTAATGATCGATCCTGGTATGATGGCAAGCACGAAACGAAGCGCAATGACTCACATCGCCATCACTGCCGTTTAGGTTCCTCGAAGCTCGAAGCAATCTTGCAGGCGAGTCCTTGTCCAGGGTCACGTCCACCTGCCTTTTGGGCACTGGAGCTGCCGCCTGGAAAAGGGTGACTTTTCAGATCACTTCCAGGTCTGGGTCGAGGTTCTGGGCAGGCGCCGAGCCTTGCCGTTGGCAAGGCCGGATCGGGGCCTTGGCTGTAAATAAACATGGTAGAGTGGTGCAGGCCCCCGAGCAGCTTCCCAAAGATCGGAATGCGCAAGACAACCATGGAAGCCTTTCAGAGGATGCTCTAAGCGCTCGCTCTTTCGCCCCGGAGTGTCGGAGCCCTTGTCGCACAACCAACGAACTGATCCGAAGACGATGCCTTGCAAAGGAGCCGCCGACAACCGGAACTCTATGCCACGAGTGGTGAGACAGTCCACTGCTCCACACCCTGCCTCCCAGGGCTCAACTGAAATCCAGAGCGACGAGAACCAATTGTCGAGAGCCGTTGGACCAGGTGTCTACCAAACATTTCCTTCTACCCTAACGAAGTCGTCTAGCAAAGATGTGGCCATGATCCCAGGGATGCATCGTGATGCAGAGTGCCCTTTGGCAAGTCAGTGGATGCAGCTGCTTCGAGCTTCCTAGCTACAAGACAGGATGTTCACCCGTGTAAGAATATGAATAACAAGCCTTGATGCCTCGCGATACTCCCAGAATCAAAGAACTGAAATTCCCATCGCAGGACATTTGAGTTGCATCAGTCTAAACTGGGCTGGACCTCTCAGTGCAAGGAGGGTTTCCCATCAAAACCATAACTTTCACTAACAGTCCTTTTTCAAAGTTTTGTGCACCAGAAAGATTCTCTTGAAAGGTCCACCCCAAATAGCTCCAGGCCTGCCTGGCCTACCTGTCTTCTGGCTTGCGATCACCCAGCAGCCTACGTGCCAGGGAATTTTCGGAAGGTGCCTGGCAGGGAGATCGAGCACACCCTAAACCCTAAACCCTAAAACCCTTCCCGGCCGCCGTGCTTGCGTGCAGCTTGAGCTCCCAAGCAGCTACGTACCAAAAAACTGTGCATGCACCATGATAGTATATTATAGCAAGATCATGATGACCCGCCATTCGCTTATGATTTCTGGCGCTTTTGAAACATGCAGGGAAAGGCCAGCCTCGTCCGGGTCTTAACTACACACGTCTCTTGGGCATGCTCCGTCACCTCTTGTCATAGCCTTGTCTTCGACTTTTGTCTTGGGTTCTATTTTGCTTCACAGGAGTTCGATGAAGCGCTGGCAGTGGGTGAGCGCGGTAGTCATGACAATTCACTGAATATTCTTGCGGTCATGGTGATGATGGAGATGGGGAGGATGATATCGCGATGGTCCTGAGGCTGCTGATGTTCATAAGTAGTCGTCGTCGTAGTAGTAGTAGTAGTAGTAGTAATTAGTAGTAGTAGTAGTAGTAGTAGTAGTAGTAGTACTAGTGGTGGTAGTAGTACAGTAGTAGTAGTA